ACAGAGTCAATGCAATCCTTGTCAAAATTCCAATGACCTTTTTCACAGAAATAGGAAAAGCATTCCTCAAATGTGTAAGGAACCAAGAAGACCCCAAATAGCCAAAGCAATCCTAAGAAAGAAGAACAAAGCTGAAAGCATCACACTTGCTGGTGTCAAACTATTACAAAGTTATGGTAATAAAAACCGTATGAAGTTGCACAAAAACAAACACAAAGATGAAGGAAACAGAATCAAGAACCCAGAAATAAACCCATGCATAAAGCCAACTAAAAACCCATGCCTAAAGTCTCTTTAAGAGACCCGAGAATACTCAAAAGAGAAAAGGTAATCTCTTCAATACATGATGCTGAGAAAAGTGGATATTAACATGCAACAGAATAAAACTGTGCCTCTACCTTACACCCCTCACAAAAGTTAACCCAAACTCAAATAACGACTTCCATATAAAATCTTAAATCATAAAACTCCTAGAAGAAAACACAGGATAAAAGCTCCTTGGCATAGATCTTACGAATGATTTAGGATAGGACATACAAAGTACAAGCAACAAAAGCAAAAACAACCAATGCAATCAACAATGTTTCCGCACAGCAAAAGAAACAAGCAACACGACGGAAAGGCAACCTATGGAAAGGATGAAAACATTCGCAAGCTACAAATATGAAAAACGTCAATATCTAAAATGTGTAAGGAATTCGTACAACTCAGCAGCTAAAAACAAATATAATTAAAAACTGGGCAAGGCACCTTAATAGACGTCTCTCCTCAGAACATATTCAGATGGCCAAGGGTACACAAGAAGGTGCTCGATATCACTATTCATCAGGGCAATGCAAATCAAAACTGCAGTATATAGATATCACTTTGACCTATTAAAATGGCTATTGTCAAAAAGACAAGAGATATCGTTGGCAAGGATGTACAGGAAAGGAATTCCTTGTACTGCTGTAGGACTGTAAATTGGGACACCCACTATGTAAAACAGTATGGTGGCTCCTCAACACACCAAAAATAGAACCTCCATAGGAGCCAATAATCCCATTTCTGGGTATATATCTTAAAGACATGACATCCTTACCTTGGAGAGATAGCTGCAGCCCTCTGTTTATTGCAGCATTATT